TCCCTGCTGCTGGCAGGGGGGTTGGAACTGGATGAGCTTTAAGGTCCCTTCCAACCCAAATCAGTCTATGATGAGACCAGGAGGAGAGAAATCAAGTGTGTTTAGCAGATGTGGGTTTGGTGCCCGTGTCCCCTGTGAGCTGCAACGAGGGTGATGGCCGCAGCACTGCTCTGAGCTGTCACGACTCTCTGCACTTTCTCCTCCTGGTGACACGTCCTATTTAATTACGTACAAGTAAGTGGCTTAATTTTGGATCCTCCCTGGGAATCTGGCGGTGAGCAAATGGGAAGCAGGAGGGAGCAGGGAGCTTTAGGCTCAGCCAAAAAGCCACTGAGAGTTGGACAGCTGCGGCTGTGGCACCCCAGGGATGTGCTCTACCACCAACCAAGGCTGCCAGCCAGGAGACCACTTCCAGAGACAGGAATGTTGGACAAAGGGAACAAGGTTATGTCACCAAACAAGAGAGGACGGGGATTTCTGGGCTGTGTCGGGAGGGTTTTGACAGCAGAGGGAGACTCCTGCCCCTGTAAATGTCATCTAATAAGTGGAAATTTAAGGAAGGAGGGTGAGCTCTGTCACTGTCCCACAAATGCCCAAAGGATGCTCATCCCAAGCTGTCCTCCCACAACCCTACCTTGGTGGTACAGGCAAAGCCTGTCCCCAGCTCAGCCAGCAGCCGCATCACCCCCTCACTGCCGTTGCACTTAACCGGGAAGTAGGGTTTGACACGGGGCAAGGCCTTCAGGAAACGCAGGTGTTTCTTCACAATGTCCCCAAGGTCTGCCACGAAGAAGGCTTGTTGGTCACTCTAGGAGAAAGCTGGAGTGAGGAACAGTCGTCTCCCCACGACCACCTCTGCCAAGGGGGTGTTGGCTGCTGGGGAGCAGCAGAGCTGCCAGCCCTTACCGCCGGGCACAGCTCCACCAGCAGGTTCTCCAGGAGGTCTCTGGTGGTGAAACCCTCCTCCACCATCATGAAGTTGGATTCATTCAAGTACCCATTCATGGTCAGGGTGTGATAACACTGGTTTAAAGCCTCCTTGAGGAAGGTTTAGCTTCTGAGTATGCAAGATGCTGTGAAAAAAAAGGGATATTAGAGGCAGGGCCCAGAAGGTCCATCAGCTTCACACCACCCAGCCTGCACCCCGAGGTGTCCCCCGTCCCTCCCACAGGCTGTACATGGCACCACTGCCCTGGGTAGAGCTCTCTGCTGCTCTCCTCCAAACCAGGACCTCAGCTGAGAGCCTTACCATGGGTTAAAGCATCTTCTACAGGGGAAGGAGACACATTTCTCTGCAGCTCAGAGCTTTGTTTTGCCACCCAGCAGCCCTGTCTTCTCCAGGAGCAGTTCAGGCACCAACAGAGTTAACAGCAAAACCAACTTCATGGCAAAGCAGGTGGCCTGGGTAAGTCAGAATATGTCCCTTCACACTCTGGCATGTAGCTAGATCTGCTGTACCCTGCACGGGGTGAAGTTCCCTTGTGGTTTTCAAAGAGCTGAAGCCTCATGGAGCCACCTTCCCAGGCACATGATCCCCATGAAAAGGGAGGAATTCTTAAAGAGCACAGCATGGGCTGACACCAGCTGCCCTGGGGATGGTCTGGATCTGGGCTGTGGTCCCAGTTTCACTTCTCTCCTGTGACACAGGGTGTGGAACAAGGGGACAAGCTAACCTGCACCGTGTTTCCAGGCTCACACACTCAGTGGAGCTTTAGCTTTAACAATCTCCTCCCCTGGATCCAGACATCCCACAACCCAGGGAGCTGAAAACCTAACGTGAGCTCACAGGAAACATTTCCACTCCAAGAATCCAGGTCTAGTTCCAGGGCTCTTACAGGAACCCTCTGATCTGAAGCAAGCAGGAGACAAGAGGTTTCATTTCTCAGAGCTGCACATCACCTTCCTTTCTGCAGAGACCTACTTACGACATGGGGATGGGCACCAGGAGAGAGACCACACTGACCCCAGAGATGGGGAATGGGGTTTTGAAGCTCTTAGAGCTTCATATTCAGGAAAGGAGAATAACTCCTCCAGCCTTACCCTTCACTCACCCAAAACATCACTAACCAGCACCCAGCCCGCCCTGGTTGGGCACAGAAATGATGAGTAATTAACTAGGTCACTCCTGCCAGCCCTGGGCATCCTCCTCCTTACCAAGGTCCAACTCCTGGGGACTAGGCGTGCTGCCAGGGGGGTCCCCCGAGGAACGCCGAGCTCCCGCAGCACCCCGAGGCGTAGCTGTTGCTGGGGGTCTGAGATCTCTGGGGAGAAGCAGTGCAAGGGGTTAGCAAGGGAGAGGGACACTGACAGCACTGCCCCC